GAGGGGAAAGAAAAAAGAGAGCAAATGAGCAAACACCCACCTTTTCACCTTGGGAGGGGGAAAAAAAAAAAAAGAAAAAAAACCCAAAACCAAGACAAGAATAATAATTACTTGAAATTAAAGCCAGTTTCTTTTATGAGCAGCAGTAATCCAGAAGTTCTTAAGACTTCTTTGTGATCCAAGTTACTGAACTTGTAGATAGTGATGGAGAGGTGGAGATAGTGGTTTACTTTAGAGCATCTTGCAGAGATGATGTCCAGTATAGTACAACTTTCAACAAAAAACCCCTTTTTGCCTCAGAGGCAAGCTTCTGTGAATACACTTCAAGATCTGGCCTGATACCAGCTTAATGAAGTTCTATAATTTATCAGATCTTCTGTTTAGATTTTGGTGAGCACTGTCTGGGCCTAATGCATCAAGAATTTTTTTTATATACTGAAGAGTCCAAAAAAATGAAACAGTGATTCCAGGAAGAGATGACACTGACGTTCTTTCAAACTGCCCTCTGATAGAGATAAGTTTTCAGAACATGCATGCAGACCTAAGTAAGTCCTCGAAATATTAGAGTACTTTGTGCATTTTCTGGCATTTTAATGATTCACTTATGTTAAAACTACTCTTTAATTAACTTTCATTTTTCCTGAACTCTTCCAAAGAGTAAGGAAATGGCGTAGAATAAATTTGTCTCAATAAGGCATTTACTAGTCAAGGGTTAAACCCAAATCATTATACCCAAGTATTTAAAACTCCATTTCAAATCAACACCCTGTTTTTCTTAGCCCCCAGTATGAAGCTGGCATGTGAACTAAGGTTTTTTCAGTAGCTTGACCATAATGCACACATGAAATAATTATACTATTTGCAAAGGAGGAAGCTAAGTGTTGTTAACCTTTCTTTCAATCTACTATTTTTGCTTTTTGATAGCCAGTTGTGATTATATATGCCAAATTAGCTGTTCAATCTGAAACAGACAAAAACCCTGCCTCTTACATGGCAGTTTGGTAATCTTAAAAAAGATTTGTGTTTGGTTAAACTATAAAGCTTCAGTAACATTTAAGAAAACACAGCTTAAACAGTAAACTATGCTGTATACAGTTAACTACTGTATGTTAATGCTTACAGCAATTTTCTTCAAAGAGAAGTATTAAAGAAAATAAATGAACAGTATCTTAAATAAGCTGCTATTAAAATAACACTGCTTGTATCAATAAATCTGTTTCTAAAGGACTGCCACCAATAATGTTCTATGAATTACTACCGAATGTGGCTAAAAAGTCGCAGGCCTTGAGCAGATTCAACAAGATCCAAAATTAAAATCATGTACTAGAATCCCTACTTCTATTCCACCTTTTATATATTTATCAGGTATTTTTGTTCTTAAATTGAAATGTATGTACGTGTGTGTATATAGTCATGTGCACACGTACACGTGTGTATATGCATGTGCACACATGGCAGCATGGGTGCACATATGTGCACGTGGAGGATATGGTGCATCCAGTCAAACTCTGAGCATCCCTAAGTGAACTCTACCTCTTACTGTGAGCTACATTCCTTCCTGTAAATGACATGAAGTACAGGATATGTGGTAAAGGTATCACATAGTCACCATATTATATTCTTTAAAAGAGATGTTCCCAAAGTATTGTGGTAACAAGTTTTCTCCATTATACAGAATATTTTGCTTGTGCCACCCTTTCCAAAGACTTTCACCTGGCCTTCTCTGTTGTTTGTTCACTCATATCAAACCCTCCAACTAATAGTTATAGAAAACTGCTAAAAATCTCTATTTCATCTCTTCAACCCTGCCCTCTGTCCCTAGTCACAAGTAATTGTTAGGACAGAAAAATAATAGCTAGAGCGACATTTTGTGAAAAGGTCTCCAAGCTCCGCATTTAGAGACACCCTGGTATATGAGCTAGGAGCTCTCCTCATCTTTACTGACAGTTTCCACGTAGGAAAATGTCAGAGCTGAAATTGCACTAGATTTCAGTACTTCATGAAGCGCATTAGTGCCGAACCTGAAGGTGTCAAAATGGGAAGAGCATGACAACAAAATTAAGTCCCTTCAATGCATCAGCATGCTGATTATCAGTCCTATTGCTCAGACAATAGAAGAAACCAATTGCAACTTTTTATTTGAGACTTAAAAGCCTTTTCAGAAACCACATGCTGCAAACCAGCTGGCACTGCATCAGTAAAGGATGTTAAGTAAGATCCCATAAATAACCTTCCACAGACCACCGTGCAGTATTCTATGAAAAGTACATTTTAAACATAAAATTAAGCACTTTATGTAAGACAGACTGCTGGTACAGCAGTCTAGAAAGTTATATACATATAGACATCGCAGCCCCTGGCACCAATCACTGACAAGGCACTACCCCTTAATACAGTGAGCAAAAGAATAACAACTAACACAAACTCAGGAAAGGTTCTCAAGCACTTAAGTGCTTTTCTGAAAAAATCACATGTCTGTGGGGGACAGGAGTATTATATTAGCTCATCATTCAGTTCTAATCTACAAGAGAAAGGCACAATTTTTGTAAGGAACAAGCTCATGTAGGGTCTGAAAATGTAAGGGAGTGACTGGACTGCTCAACTCACGGATTTACCATTATCAACACCTCGCCTTCCTAAAGCCTTTATCCATTGCAGCACTCCAGCCTTGCAAGCAGTCCCACCATCTCTCTATAATTCCCAAGAGGCCACAGCTTTGCTGCCACGCATGGACTTCTCACTGCCCATTTGTCTCCTCTGCCGCACACAGATGTCGGTCTGCTTTCACAGGGAAAGTGCAAAAGCCTCTGGCATAACACTGTTCCCCACACTCTGATCCTCATGCTTTCACTTCTCTTCAGGTTATGGTCACTCTGCTCTGATCTCTGTAGTTTAAAACACTCCTCACTGTGCTAGCAAGCCTGTTGGCAAAAATGCTCTTGCCCTACTTTGTCAGAAAGGTCTTACCCTTCGCTTAAGGGAGGGCCCTGTGGTTGTAAAAGTCAAAGCCCTGCGTGACAACAGCTATGCAGCCAAGTGTTGACTCACTGGAGATGTCTTTTCCCACCTGAACCTTTCTCCTTCTAAGTTAGGATCAAGGAAAACACCACCTGGACCCCCAGTGGCATGTAGCCACTCGATATATTCATGGTCCCCCCTCTCAGTAACATAAGACCCTGTACAGGTAAGTGGCAAAAGGCAGCATTCTGAATCTGGACAAACCCTGGCATCCCTCCACAGCCTCCTTACCTCACCTAAGGGAGACAACAAAACCGTCCAACACAGCAAGTTGGGTTGGCAGACAGATGCTTCTAAGAGGGAATGCAACAAGGGCAGTGACCAGTGATGATGCACGTTCTCCTTTTGGTGCAGACCCTTGATTCAGGCTCAGCTGGCTCTGACACCTCTCCAGACTGAGCTGCTTCTTGCTCACCGATTTCCAGGGCACTAAATCTGTTCTCTAGCTCCAACTTGTTTTGCCAGAAGTCACAAGTTTCCAGCCTCCCCCACCATGGCAATCTTTATTCTTATCCTCTACTTCTTGAAGTATAGTCTCCAACGGCCCCTCCTTCCTTGAATTTGGCTCCTTGGAGTAGGGCTCTCACCTCTGAAGGATATCTGTGAAGTCTCGGTCAACCCTGTGTTGACTATTCTAGATGGTACATAGTCTGCTCATCTCCTCCTGCAGCTCCTTCACCTCACTACCTTCAAGAGAACACGTCTCCCACAAGCGAGGCCACCATCACCCCCATCCCTAGGAAAACAGGTACTCCCTTCAGCCTAAGACCTGGAAGGCAACATCGCCTCTAGTGCTATCGAGGTTGAGGACTCACGTACACTCAACTGCCTCCCTGTGGAATGTCACCATTGTCACTCTACAGTCTCAAGCAGTCCCACACCAAATAGAGCAGAGCTCTGAAGCCCCTTTGCACCCCTGCATGTTTCTGTTTGATGAGCTCTAGGAGCTGCAACCAGGAGCTTGTCTGGTGTCAGACTGCTTAGGACACAACCAGAAGTGGCATTATTTGGGATGACTTGGATGAGCGGGGTAACTCTGCAGTCACTTGCGAAGGCAAGAGGGCTTCTCTCATTTGCACATGTACTGCCTACTATATTCAGTCCATGTTATAAGATTACAATGTAGATCAAATAATGTGATTGAAATATTCAGGAATGTAGTTCATAGTGTACTGACTTAAAACACTGTGTATCTTAGAGAAGTCCTAATATGAGTCAAACTTCTTTAGGACTCCTAATCATCTTTAAGTCAGCTGTGCTATAAAAACCTCAGCAGTATCACATACACTGGGCAGCCAGAGGAACTTGCAGCAGTAACATCTAAAGAACTTCAGCATAGACACTGTGGAACAACACTGAAGCTTCCTCAGATACTGGCAGGACATAAAACAAACCTTGTTCATAAAAAGCTTAAATAAAAATAAGTCACAGAAACATAAACAGTCATCCACCTACATTCATTTAAGAGTTATTGCCTTCTTATTGGACACTATCACAGTCGGACCCAACTATGTTCAGTAGAATGGTAGGAAAAGGATTACAGAAAACATCTGTCAGAGCAGGTATCACTCACAAGAATGACTGAGCTAGCCTGTAAGTGAAGAACCCATGCATTTCAACACAGCTCATGAAAAGAGAAAACATCCGACAGAAACATTAACTGCACTTCAGTATGTCCACTCTAGAATTGTTCTCTATTGCCACATTTTTATCCAATTAAAAAAATAATACTGTACCTCACAGTAAAATCATAGGAGCAAGATGCCAATAAAGTTGCATGGAATGGTGAAAACTGCAAGAAAACAAAACAGAACAACTATTAAAGTAAAAACATTGTGAACATATACAGATTTACTCTAAGTAAAAAGTTACCAAAGTTTAACTACTAAAACTGCCTTAGTAGGTACCACATCAAGTTGCAACAAAACAGACTACATCAACAAATTTCCCCACCATGCTTATTACAAAGAATGCTGTATGGGATTCTGCTCCAGTTTGATTTCATTACAGCAGTTTCAAACCACCCTGCTGTAAAGTTAAGAAGTTTTAGGACAGTCATACAAACAGTCATTAAATTCTGCTTTTGGTTGACAAGCTGAGTATCATCTCATTATATAAATCCAGTTTCAGAAAAGCTCTGTGACTAACTTATTATTTTCAGAGAGAAGAAATTTGTGCCATGCTGCAAAGAAACAGCCCTGTAAACACTCAGGTCAGTGGAGAAAGAGGGGGAGGAGGTGGTCCAGATGCCAGAGCAGAGATTCCCCAGCAGCCCATGGTGCAGACCATGGTGAGGCTGGCTCTGCCCCTGCAGCCATGGAGGGTCATGGTGGAGCAGAGACCCACCTGCAGCCCAGGGATGCCCAAAGAAGGCTGTGAGCCCGTGGGAAGCCTGTGCTGGAGCAGGCTCCTGGCAGGATCTGTGGCCCCATGGAGAGAGGAGCCCAGGCTGGAGCAGGTTTGCTGGCAGGACTTGTGACCCCAAGGGGACCCGTGGCGGAGCAGGCTGCTCCTGAAGGACTGCATCCCGTGGGAGGGACCCACGCTGGGGCAGTTCATGAACTGCATCCTGTGGGAAGGACTCAGGCTGGCAAAGTTCACGGAGGACTGTCTCCTGTGGGAGGGACCCCATGCTGGAGCAGGGGCAGAGTGTGAGGAGTCCTCCCTCTGAAGATGAAGGAGCAGCAGAGACAGCGTTTGATGGACTGACCCCAACCCCCATTCCTCTTCCCCCTGTGCTGCTGGTGGGGAGAAGGCAGAGAAATCAGGAGCAAAGCTGAGCCTGGGAAGAAGGGAGGGATGGGAGGAAGGTGTTACAAGGTTTGGTTCAGTTCTCTTTTACTTGTGACTTGATTGACAATAAATTAAATTAATTTTCCCCAAGCCAAGTCTGTTTTGCCCATGACAGTAACTGGAGAGTGATCCTGCCCCGCTTCATGTCAACCAACAAGCTTTTTGTTCTATTTTCTCTCTCCTGCCCAGCTGAGATGATCAGTGATACAGCAGCTTTGGTGGGCACCTGGCCTCCAGCCAGGGTCAACCCCCACAGAAGAACTTTCACTTGTTTGTAAAGCCATCTCCTATTAGTTTCATCAAGTACCCTTTAGTTTATTAACACGGGCCATGACTAATAACAATTCTGCATTCATTTTCTCCATTTTATCATGAAGACAATGTGCTATGAATCCCTTAGTGGCAGAACGGTTTTTAAAAGATTCCACTAACTGTTAGAGAGTAAGAATACGACAGTCTGTATTAATTGATACCATATTTATTAATGTGGCTTAATGGCTGTCAAATTGGAGTCACAAAATGATCTAGTTTAAAAAACAAGAAAAAAAAACCAAACAAAACCAAACAAACTCCAACATCATTGCTACATGTCCTTCTGCTATGAAGAACAGTTCACAGAGCCAGATCAGAGCATGGTCATGCAGGAATTAAATTAAAAAAAAAAAAAAAAAAAAAAAAAAAAAGACTGGCCACCATCAGTGGGGATAGCAGGCAAGGACAGCTGGGATATGGAGGAGTAGGCGTTTCTCAGGCTGTCTGGCCACAAACAGGAAGTATGATATGGAACCACTCCCTGAGTCACAACCTTTTCTGACAAATTACAACCTAAGCGCAGTAACTTTCAGTTGTTAGAAACAAATCAAAAATTTCAAGGCCATGTGAAGCATGCTGATCCAGCATATTTTTTATTCTGCCAGTTCAGACTTCCTAGAAAATATTAATAAACATAACTGCTCCTGAAAGGCTTTATCCGACTAATATAAGAAATTAATAAGCACTGATTAATATGAAAAAAAAATGTCACTGTGCATCTAGAACAAATCCTTATCAGTGGGTGACGTAGTAGTACACAGATTCAGCATAGTTATCTGTAGCTTTTCATGTATAAAATTTCTAAATCTCTTTGAACATGCTAACATTTTCTTCGTATACACAAAAATACATATTCACAATAAGTTCTATACCTTGCCGTTTGTGGATACTGACCCTTTGTATGGAAAGAAAAAGGTACAACACCATTTAAAAAACAAATGAGAGAAGGTATGTCCTCTAGCTCAAATTTCCCATATAACTTGGCTGAAGTAAACCTCCCAAACCTCTCTCAAGCTCTCCAACACTCCTCATGGAAATATATTGACTTCAAAGATGTTACTTACTTTGAAATCCCAGCAATCTGCTAAACATCAAAATGTTCTGCAAAGCTAAACTGAAAGTTTTGAAGAACAGTCGCTGTAGCATCTAAAAATCTTCAACACTTGTTGCTTTTTTCCTTGTTATTACATAAAATATTACTGTTTTCCAGAAAATTTTGTGTAATACTTCAGTAGTGGTCAACAGGGAATAAAGTACAACTTACTTTTACCCTTCTGATAGCGTAGGTATGACCAAACAAGACGAACACGGGTTGTCGGATGTTCCGCAAATCCCAGCCTTTTAAGCTACAGTCAACTGCACCAGTTACCAGCAAGTTCTGATGATTTGATAAAACACAGATGTATCAGGACAATTTAATTACTAAATTGCAGTGATGCACACACTGGATACATGAGCCAGATAAATCAAACAATACAGATGAATAAATCATAAATGAGGTCTCCAGCGAGTAAATTGAAGAGAACAGAGAAATAAAAACTGTTTCTCCACTATGGACTATTGTGTCCACTATACAAACGAATAAGCAAAACCTCTGATCTACCTGTTGGAAGAACGCTCTTCTGAAGATGCAGCAGCGCTTGAGAGCAACAGGGCAACCAGATGTGTTTTTATAAGGAGAGATGCATTAATGTTGCAGTTAAAAAACATGGTTTTTTTATAATGAGAGTGGTTCAATTAGGCAAACAGTTGGATGAGCAGGTTAATACCTCATCATACTTGCACCAGTCACAGCTCAAGATCTCAGCCTGGTGGGCCGGTATCACAAGTTTGACTCCTGGGGCTTTCACATCCCAAACTCTTAAAGTCTGGTCACCTGAAACAAAGAGAAAACAATTCAACATTGACTATATCTAGTTAATCCATTGGTACTCAGTAGGCTCTATGAAATACAAACTATTACACGAGGACACATGCCAAATAAAGCAAACCCATTACGGACACTGAGGTCAGATTGATGTACAAAAGGAAGCAGAACTCACTATTGCTCTTCCATTAGAAATAAATTAAAATTTCATTTTCTCACTAACACTTCGATAATTTTTTTAAACTCTGGTTTGATTAAAAGGATATGGGGTAAAGTACTCAAATAATATTTAATTAAAGTAGGGACTTAAGGTCCATTTAAAAATGGTCTTAGAAGACTACAATAATAATAAAATTTCTTGCAAGCCACCCAAGAAAAAGTACAGACACATGCTTTTGGCACACAAAAAAGTGAACAGTATTTAAAATGCAATTCATCTCCAGATTCTTTCAGTAGAAGCAAAGTTTAAGACATATTACTTGCACTCATCATGTGCAAACCCTACATAGCTACTCTCATTTATTGAAAGATCAGAAGATAAAGTCATTCTGCTCTGTTACACATATCAAAAGCAACGTCTGCTCTAACCTCAGAGCGCATACATGCACCTGAACACGTGCATGCACATACAGGTCTTTAAGGTCCCTTCCAACCCAAACCATTCTGTGATTCTATGATAAAAATGGATCCCCCAGCTCAGTTGTTTACAGAGAGAGAAAATTAATTAGAATTCATGATTATGCCTATATTCATTCAAGAGACAAATGAAATCACTAGAAGCTGTATCCAAACAGCCATTTCTACAGAAAGCATGCATCAATACTTCCTACATTAAAAAAAAATACAACACTTTTTACCTTGCTACTGAAGAAATTACTAATGTTTCTTTACCAGAAACACTACTGGAAATCTGCAAATTGGATTACCATCAATAATTATGATATTTATGCTGTTTAGATACAAGCATTTTGATGGATTTAGTGCCCAGTTTGTTACTGCCCTTAAAATACACAGCTGGGCACACATGATCATAGCTCTTTTCAAAAAACTGGCTACAGGCCAAGCAAAACCACCCATAGAGCCACAACAACAATATTCCTATTGTGTGAACTACCAGGCTCTATAGACTTTGCAAAAAGACATAAAATGTTTGGGAAGTTTGAACACAAAAAATGAAGCTGGCGAGAGCTTGTTTTCATTACACAAGACTGGCCTTATGACCGTAGCACTACACTACACAGACCGTGGGAAGCTTTGCTCTGATGGTTGGTTGGCTTTTCATCACTCAGGGATTGTAAGAGATACTGTATTCTTGGTGGCTACCTGTAAGGTGGGAAGAACACATGATTTCTCACAGTTTTCACTCCCCTTGCCTATTTGAACACTGCCAAGAGCTCAGTGTATGCACAGCACTCCTGACAATGACACCCTGCAGTCAGCTGAGGCCCCAAACATCACTACAGTGTTTATAAAAACAGGGCGACATATGGAGAGGAAGAAACCTGACCAGCGGGGTCTTGGCAAAAAACAGGGTAGCGTGCCCTTCCACCCACCATTAGTCTTCCTAATCTGCTTGCTTGCAGAGGACAGATTTCCATTTGTGTCTTAAGTCTTTCAGAGATATTATAATGGACTTCTTAAAAAAGCTTTTATTTTAATTTCATCAGATAACAAAGACTTGAAGGGGAAACATATATTTCACTACAGACAGGATCATTTTCCCCAAGCAAGTAAATATACAAATCCAGGTGAACTAGAAAGAAATGCTACAGAGATAAGCCACAGTAGCACTCTGAAGGCCAAAAACATCTGGAAAAGTCAGTTACTCAGCCAGTAACAAATTTGACACTAATATGCAATTGCCCCTATTTCTTTTTTAATAGAAAATGCTGATGCACTAGAGTTATTTTCCTTTTTTTTTTAATATATATTTCTTTGGAGATGCTAGACTTAGCTGTTAATTCTGGTGGGCACTATTTGTGAAGTGTTTTTAATGGAGTAACAAAGCATGCAAGTGAACCTTTCTGTGAATAGAACAGACTAAATGAAAGCCAAAGTCGAATCACATTTTTTCATTTGAACTCTAAGTGAAAGAATTAATTCTGACACACTATGCATTTTAAGAATTTTTTTTTAACCTCAAACATCTTTCCATGACCTCAGAATATAGATTTTTTTTCTTTTACCTTTAATTTCAATAAAAATTGCTGTTAAAAATTTTGGATTTCTACATTTCCATGATTCCTTCAAATCTGCATTTCAAAGGATGTATTTCTTCCATATGGGAAAGCAGAAGTAGGATAATAATAATAATAACAGAAAGCACAAGGAAAGTACACCTAGTACAATCATACTCACCAACAGCCATTTCCAGTTGGCATCCCAAAGTAACCAACCACAAAAGTGGCCAACATTTCCCCTACAAAATACTTCTATTTTTGTAAGAAGCAATTTCTCTATGGCAACAGATTTTTGCTGTTCTGTTAGATAATCATGATTCCAGATTTGTTTGTATATTGTACTTGCTTTCTTTCATTTTAATGAATATTTGTGAAATCTTGGACGAATCAATAGAACTACACAATATATATTCATCTATTCAAAATTTTTGAAAGAGATGCTAATATACATGTACATCATCCCCGTACATGGGATAAAGATTTCTAATGTGAATGACAATGCATGATAGTGAAAAGATGCAGTTTATTTAAGATCTAAATTTCATGTAGGTTTTATACTGGCTTCTTACTCACAGATTTATTTTACCCAAATCCATAAATCAATCTCCTAAATCCTGTGAAAACAACCAGCTAAGCAATCAGTGCCAGACAGTGCAGAGATACAACATTAACTACAAAAATGTACCTAGGTGTTTGGGAGATTAACTAAAAAACAAGAAACCTGAAGCACTATCTGAAGGCAAAAAAAGTTTCTAACCAGGATAGATACAATGTTTTTCAAGAACCAAATAGTGTTAGCTTAAAGTTTTACTTAAAAAAAATTAATCTTATTTTTTTTTAAGTTCTAAAGCAAGAAATATGTTCTTCTGACAGTGTTTGCTCATCAAGAGAAAAAAATACTCAAATAATATATCTTTAGTTTACTGTACAAAAAGAATTCATCATAAAAGACAAGTATTGGCATATGTAGTGTAACATCAAAGAAATCTCAATTAAAGTAAGTACTTCTGCAGTGTCACGGAATGATTACAAGTTGATGTTATTTGCTTACTTATATGTATTTTTTATTACTAAACAAGATAATTTTTTTTTTTTTGGTCAGAATCAAACAGAAAATCTGTGTGAGAATGAAGAGCAGAACAAAAATCTCATGACTCTCCAAACCAATCTTTTTAGGCATGTTAAAATGATGACGCTGTCCATTGCTACCATAGTAAAAGCGAACCTAGAACAGGATTAATAAAGTTCATGAGATTCCACAAAAAGAGACAGAAATAGAGTGACACAAATAGCAGCTTTATTTAAATTATCCAACAGGACTCTCCTGAATGCACAAAATCTATTTCCATGTAGTACAATCTAGATATCAAGAAAACAATTACCAGTGGAAACAAACTTTCCAACTGGTAATTTTTAGGTCCGATACAAAAAGATGTTAAGCTAAAATCAGGTGAGTTTAAAGTTACTTTAGAGAAGACCTCACAGTCTTTTTCTGAAAAAAGTAAATTGTTTAAAAAAAAAAAATTAGCGAACATTATTTCAGGATTTTCCAAGACGATTAAACATAAATCTTGGAATCTTGGTACAATTTTTTTATTTCAAAATTGCCCTAACTTATGACATTATCAAACCATTCTCAAGCAAATGGCAACATTACCTAGATACCTAACACTAACCTAAATTATCCAAAACATATTATATCACTTTAGAAAACCGCTAGTGCATTTTTTCTTCTCAACACTAAACAACTGTTTTACAATATGAGATTCTAATATAAAATATTATAACCTGAAAGTGCTCTATATTCTAGCATGTGCTGCATACAGTACTTCACTACGGTTAGCTTGTACTATAACTTGAGGGGCAAATACTTCCTGAGAAGTATTTCACCTTGCACAGGAGGCTGATTATTAGTGAAGCTTACTGAGCACAAGACCCAGAGGAATTCAATACTGTGCCAGTACGTCTTGAAGCAACAGACTGCTAATGAAAACAGCCACCTCACTTCATTACATAGATTTGGCACAACAAAGTATGGAAGTAAATTATATTTTAATAGCTTCTAGCATAAACAGCAGTTTACCTAAACTGCAACAAAACACAGTCACTCCCTAGTCAGTTTGCTCTCTAGATGCTCGATTTGTACCAGGTATCATGCAGTAAATTGAAGCCTCTATTCTTTTATCCCTCAAGGATCTGGATTCCAAAAATTACCAAGTTTTGCAAAGCCTCTAACCTTATTCACAATGGCACATTCACAAAGCAAATAGCCAAGAAATAACGCAAAAGAAGCAAAGGGTGAACCCACACCATACACAATAATGGAATATAAACCTCCAGTAAAGTGTTTTTAAACTCGTGACAAACCACTGGCATAGCAGAACAGAAGATTATTTCCTTCAGTTTTTTAGGAAGCTGAACAAACACACACAAACGTCTTTGGAATTACTTGTCTGCAAGCCCCACTCCCTAACCACTCCTTGTTTTGCCCTGTGCTGCTTCTGAAACAGGAATGTAAGCTGGAGCTCCAGAAAGCTGAAGTCAAAGACCTGACAACCCCAAATTTGGTCCAGGAAATTGGAAACAGGGGAAACACCTCTTTATTGAGGAGCTGCCCTTGAATGAAAGGGCTTACAAAGACTGGAGGGCTGGATTTACAAGGTCATTTGTAAACTAGCAAAATTACAGTTCCTCAACACTTCTGTCAACGTAATAAAAATTTCTCAGAAATGATCACACTGTTGTGTCACAAGAAAATATTTTGCCCTGGGCTTTCAGTCTGAAAAATAAGTCTTTGAGCAAATAATGCAATTAATTGATCTAAATACTGATGAATACAGGCACTATCTCTGAACAGGTTGCCCAGAGAGGCTGTGGATGCCCCATCCCTGGCTGCCTTCAAGGCCAGGCTGGATGAGGCTTTGAGCAACCTGGTCTAGTGGAAGGTGTCCCTGCCCATGGCAGGGGGGTTGGAACTAGATGGTCTTTAAGGTCCCTTCCAACCCAAACCATTCCGTGATTCTATGATACGATTATCTTGCAGATTCAAGAAACACTTCTTTCTCTTATTCATGATTTGTTCAAGATACTAGAAAAACTATGCATCTACCCCTGATCAGTAAACTTAAGGAGTGCTGTAATGATGTAAAAATGAAGGCAGCATTAAAACTGAGGTCCCAGTAGCTAAGATAAAAGCTAGTAGTCATTCCAAATCTGGTCTTTGTCAAATTCACAACATGCATCTTTTCACAGAATCATAGAATGGTTTGGGTTGGAAGGGACCTTAAAGACCATCTCGTTCCAACCCCCCTGCCATGGGCAGGGACACCTTCCACTAGACCAGGTTGCTCAAAGCCTCATCCAGCCTGGCCTTGAAGGCAGCCAGGGATGGGGCATCATTTGCCATTGTCATATCTGTATTGACGAATACTACAGTTATGCAGATAAGGGTAAAACAGTACTCATTAATTACTTCCCACTGTTAAATTTAAAGGGCAATAAGACCAGATGATATTATAAAGGATGCTTTCTTTTTAAACCGTGGGACTAAGGAGGCCTGTTGCTCTGCAGTTAAGGAGAATCACTTAGGACTGATTTACGTTTGAACATATACTAATGTTGTACGCATCTGGCACTTTCTTTATGTGCTTCTCACAGAGCTGCTCCCTGGGTATTTAAAAGAAAAAAAAAAGAAAGAAAGAAAAAAAAAGACCTTCTGGGCAAATGACACAATGACTCATGAAACCCTTTAGCCATGAAGATGCTGTTAAACATTTATGTCACTTCTTTAATGACATTTTCCACATCACTTTTTTTTTCATTTTGAGGCAGACATGTACCAGGGCTCTGGTTTGGTGCCGCACGTACACATGAACATCCTGCTTATCTTATCAGCTCAGAAATTGTTACAGACATCGCAACAGCAGTTAATTTACATGTACAGAATTAACAGTTTGTTCTGTTACTGCTGACTCCCAATTTCAAACAAAAAAAGATAAGCCATTTAGTTGCTTTTTGAGAGTACACATGATTGTACATGAAGACAACAGCATTGTGAAGTACCTCACCACATCCCTGTAAATGTTCAATGGAAATGTATTAGCTGCTGAATAAAAGGTAATTTAACTGAAGCATCAGACATATTTATCTTCTGTAATTCAATTGCATTTTATTGTCTACTACACACAAACTTAGTTTTCCTGTATGTATACAGATCAGAGACTTAATGAAGCAAAATAACCACAGTTAGCATCAAATCCTTTTTCAACTGCTTTATATTGCAGTCTCAGGTTTCTCATTTTCTTCACTCATATTCTTTTTCTAGTCTCATAATAGTTTGAGAAAAAGTCCTATTCCAAAAACAAAGATTTAACCTTACTAGCTTCAGGCAAAAGTTGTCAAGGCATGTAATGGTCCTTCTGAGCTGTGGCTTGTGGTTGTGTTTGGTTTTCTGTTTTCAGTGCTTACTAACTAGTTAAGTGGAAATTAAACTTCTGCTGGCATCTACATGGATGCAAATAAAGACAGAAAAAGGGCAGGTGTGAGGTATGCAAAAGATTCCTTAACCTCCCTCCTTCTTGCTTATTTTCTTTAAAATAATTTTTTTTAAAAAAGTAGTGCATTGCTTTACTTAAATTTAGTTTAACTGGAAGCATTTCCAGACCAACATTTTTTCCAATCTATGATTAACAACTTATCTAACTTATTTACTAACACATGCAAAACTGAAGATGCTGCAACATGAAACAGTTAATTTCTGGTCTGAAGTGCTAAGACAATACTACTAAGATAGGAGTTAAGTACGTGGTTGTGAGCAGGTATGCGTGAGGTAGGATGAGAGAAAGGGGACAGGAGGGGCAAGAAAGAGAAAGAACACACACGCACACACACACACTACAGTGCTAAAGCAGCATAGCCTCCTTCAAAAAGGGAATGTTTCAATACTCTTACTCTTCAACAATACCCTTCAAAAGCTATTGTTCTAAAAAGTTAAAAAAACCAAGGGAGATGAAAAGAAGCACCAAAGGTTTCCTTCCAGACACATTTTCAGTTACTAATTTTCAAGACAACATGAAGTTGCAAAAGCAGAGACCACAAAACTTCAGGTCAACCCTTCCAGCAAGGGTATCAAAGACAGGAACAGCTGTAAATTCAACACAGTACTATCATGTCTGAGACTGCAGTTTTTCTCCAGCTCCAACGTCAGCACAATAGGAGATCAGTCATCACTGAAATGAAGTTTGCTGCCCCATAATTTTCTGTCATCCCTAGAAAAAGTGTGGATTATACAAGGTTTCAAATGAGGATGTCCGGCCTCCTGAACAGTTCCAATAGACTTTCATCACCTAACTTGGCTGACAGAATAGAATGCCATTAAACACTAAACACTGAAGTAAACTCTCTTAACATAAGCTGTCTGATACGCCTTTCTTACAATAAGGAAATGGCATTTATACCCAAAGTGAAAGGGTCGTGAGTACTTCTACTACCCACAGTCCAGCAGACCAAAGGAAAAACTCCCAATATGAATTTTCTGTAGTGATCTAATCTAATCAAGCCACAGGCAAACTCCAATGTAAACTGAAAACAAAAGCAAAGAAACCTTTTCCATATCAGCACATCATGATCTTTGAAGTTATTTAATTTAGAAGTGCACCAGATGTTTTATTTTGGAAATGGTAGGAAAGTTCACCATCATTTTGAAAGTTTCTTTTTCTCTTCCCTAATGATTTTACACATAGCATTACACAGTAAGATTTTTATTTCACACCTGAGCTGTACTTACAGAAGAAAAATACATCCATGTTAGTTTTCTTATAAAATACTATGGAGTCATCAACTGGGGAAAAATGACTGCAATTATCGTCAGGCTCCAGCAGTGTATGTTAGTCCTTTCCAAGAGTCACAAAAGAATAGGAAGTCTACAGTGTCTTACTCAAAACTTCCCACAGCTGCACCCACTGAGTCACTCAAAGAGCAGATCAATTGTATGCTGCTGGGCCCAATTTAAGTACCACCACATACAGCACCTAACAGTGTTTCCCAAAATTGTTCAAGTGGCAACGTATTAGAAGAGAATCTGGCTTCATAGCCCAGAGAATCAAATTTGAAATAACTAGCTGGATCAGGAAAGCCCATTTAGTCATCCAGAATGACAGAAGTTTTGCATGAGTAAGACTACCAAGAAAGCAGTCAGATGGAAATAGCCAGACTGAAATTTTCTGAAAGCTGTGTGCACTTTTTCATCCAACTTCACACAGAACAGGGAAGACCAGTAGCTGTGTGTACTCACTGCCTCTCTCTAACTTTGGTTAATAGGAAAGCATATTTATATTTGCTTACCCTCTTGATATAAGAGCTAAACAATTTCTATTTAAATCAGTACAGAAGTCCAACAAGACTTGAATTCAGAAAAGTTTAAGTCACTGGAGTTAATCTACCAATATTTGTATTAAGGCAGAGTCTTACTGCCCCTCTGTTTCCCAAACAAACTCTGTGGCTCACAGCACCCCTTGCCCAGGTGGTCAGCAGTCAGGCTCCAGGTCTCACCCCAGAGCTCTTCTCCTGCCTCTGGAGCAGAAGCAGCATTTGGAAAACAGTGCCACCTCACCACACAGCCCACAGTCTCTTTAGGTACACCAAACTCAATCATGATTGTACTGACCACCAAGATTCACAGCACTGGTCAAAGCAAAAAAGTGAAATTGATGATTACCCTTCCCAAAGCACCAAGCACAAAGATCTGCAGCAGTGCTTAAAACAGTGCAACGGGAACTACCTATGCTTCTCACAGAGCTAACAGTCTACTGACACCAGATAATTTGAACAAAAATGTAAGACAGAACACAAATAAAGTATGTTACATGATTTAGTGGCCAATAACAAGTGATGTGAATGGAGGAGAGCTACATAACAGAAAAAATTGCCACAAGGTCACTGAAGTGACTGCGAGGAAAAATGATGATCCCCGTTTAAATGGCGAAGAGGATGATGTACAGGTCGCAGCAGAACCTACAAATCCAGCTGCAGCACTACCTTTATCTTTCCCTCCTCCATTTTTATGTATGACACACACTACCATCTGCTGGGCAAAGTACTGAACTAACCCAGTAACATATAAGGTTGGGGATTTGTTTTGTTGTGAGAACCTCTTTAATCATCGTGTTTACCTGAGGCAGATGCAAAACAACCTGGGATGTGTGGAGACCATATAGTGCTGTAAATGACCCCTTCGTGGCCTTTAAAAGTGCATAATGACTTCCCCACAGCTGGATCCCACTGAATAAAGTAAAAAAAAAAAAAAACTGTTGAGGTACACATTCAATTAGAACAGAAAGGGTTTCACACACAAAAAAGCTTTATGCATACAGAAAGGAATAAATGAACTTCTTTTCACCACGTATCATGAAAAGTATGTGTATACTTTGACTGGTATCAACTGAGGAATAAAGCAACATCTCCGTTAAACAGAATTCCAGTCTCAGTGTGAAACTAAAGAGGGAAAAGTGAATCCATGTTGTTTCTTGGCACAAAGAACTATCAGATACAAAACAAATCACATTTTTCACTGTCAGCAGAAAACGAACATACCAGCTTGGCTGTTTGATCCCATGAACCAGACACCACTAGGTGCTCTCCTCTAGTTTGGCTCCAGTCAACACTATACGCCTATAAATGATACAACAGCCTAGTTTAGAAAGAGCATTAGAATACAAGCTTGAGACTCTAGTGAGTCAAAGTTTCACGAAACAGACTTGGATTTGCAGTTTGTATCATAATCAGCTAAAAAAACCACACTGGTCAAGCACCACAAAGCTGCCAACAGTGCCATTTACCTGAACAAAAGCTCAGTGTAATACCTCAGTCTGGCATTAAAAGGTACATATAGGCTCAGAAATGTATCCAAAAAAGTAAAAGGGGAAAAAATGGAGGGGAAAAAAACCCAGTTGTAACCAAATCCACATAGACTCACCACCACTACCCACTGTAAAAAGCTGTAATTCAGACTGATTTCTTCTATCTGATCCAATTTTATTCAAATATCTACAGTTTCTAATTGCTAGAAATGTAAATGCCGTCTCTCTTCAGAGCTGACAAAGGAGTTGACACTGAGGTTTTAGATGACTAACAGTAAATGCTTTTTATGATACCTAATTCTCATAAGAAATACATGCCATAAAATACTCTTGATTTTCATATTTTCCAGGTTCTATGACACTTTTTACCATTCATATCCTCAAATTAATAAAATGAAAAACTCAATTTCCCTCATGACTAATCATTCCAGCTATTAAGAAATTGCTTTTCACTGTGTAATTGAAGTAAGTTCCCTCTTCTCTGACGGTTTACTCTAATGCTGGTCCCTTAACTGATTAAGGCATCACCTTAATGCTGATGCCTTAACTCCATCCTTCACTGCTGATTTTTCAGCTCTGTTGCCTCAGTGAAAACAAACGCCCGAAGGTAGTTCTGCAAATTACTTCAGATGTTCAAATCTCAAGAACATGCACAAATTCCATCTCCAAATGCACTGTATCTTTATCTACATGATGGAAGGTGCATTCTATTCTGTCTAGCTTTACCTCACACCAAAACGGTTCAATAAGCTGCAGTGGGGCATGGACCATTTCAGTGCTAAGGTGGATAAATACTAGCTGAAACAGTCATATTTGCTTCATCTCCTGACCCAATCAGGTCTTCCATGATACTTCTCAGAAATGTGGCCACTGCAGACCAGTAGTAGGTGGCACTGCTCTCTACAGTCAGGCCACTAACCACTGGGGATTTGTACTCCAGCTGAGATAATCTAGTTCTAGCACAGCACTGCATCTAACCTGCAAGTCATACTAGACAGCTGTGTTTGTCGTGGATAGACAGAATTGTGCATTAAACGACAGCAACCCTGTTTTGAAGGTGAAAGTGTTTGGATCTGTGTCAAGAGACAAGCATAGGCTGGGCTTAAAAAAAATCCAGCAAAAGCCAAAGTCTTCTACGGAAAGTGTCCTGCAGGAGAAAGGAAATCAAGGTATCATTTAGCTACTTGTGAGCATTTTCATTTCAAAGAAATATTTCAAGCTATGCCAGATCCATCTTAAATTAACTGGTTTTCATCTATTTGCTTATTTCCCATAAGCAGAGGCCAACCACTGCCCACAGAAAACTGAAGTTTATTATCTGCACCTTTCTTTTTTCATTTTACAATGTCCTGCTTCCGATATACTGAAAGGCATATTACTCTGGCACCATTTTGTGCCACCTCCTTTCCTTGAGGAGTTTATAATCAAGATGTACGAGACACACAGTACCTGACAAAAGTCAAATACCAAACAGAGAGTTAATACTTTTGTTTGTTTTTCCAAACCATGCCTTTACTCTTGGCTTTTCTACTTTTGTCAGCTAACCACCAGTACTACAGCTCATTAAACCAAACTCACTTTCAACCTGACTCCTCCTATTAAAATAATAACAAAGGAGACACCCAAGTACCAGCTCATATTTTCAGAATGGAGGACATCAGGGTCCTCCCAAGTGGTCCCTGAGCTCCTCACAAACATCAGTCTCTCTCCTTCACCTTGACTCTGTGTGATGGCCTGTGTTCAACTCCTCAGCTGTGGCTGTTTGGACATGCCCTTACATGTATCACTACATAGTATGCCTCTTTTACACAGCAGCCCTGTGAAGTCAGCTCAGTTGAATTGCCTGGCTCTCATATTCATGTCCAAGATTTTCCAGAAAGAAATACGTCTCTGAGAAATATGGACCTGTGTCACACAATTCACCTAGCCCCACATATTCGGGTTGTATCCTACTGCACAGGTAAGGCAAAGCGCACGTCTGGCTTCCAGCTCACTCACAAGCTCTCAGCACACAGATCTGCTGAACACGCGTCGTGACACAGATCTGCATACGTAAGGCAGACGTGGTTGGCACTGCCCAGTGCTCTGCAGCTGCATCAGAGGCAATGCGCAAATTCTCCTTTGGGCAAGAGTTGCAAATGGAACAGACAACAGGCTCAGAAAAGGCAAGAGCTATTTTCCACTCGGCATGTGATTAAGTCCAGGTAATAGGAAGAGAATGAAAAGAAGGTGTGGAGAACCAAGAAAGGTTCACTTTTATTCTTCTTCTATTTTCTTGCTATCATCCAAGATAAATTTACAGGCGTTTCAATAGAAACTGTGTTAAGCAACTGGGGAAGACTAATAACACAGCATAAATCTTAGTAGTTAATCTTTAAGTGCTTTATCTTCAATCATAAAATACATTAATACTAGTTTATGCTTAAACCGCGGCAAGAAATGCCACAGGCGAGATGAAAAGATGTAAAACAAAGAATAGTTGAAAATAAATGTTCAGGCTCACTTTACAAGACACATTTAATTCAAGCATCCTACTGTCTCACATTCCAGTGAGACTTCATCAAAACCAAAGTAAATTAGACTAATTTATTCATGAGATTCAGCAGTTGGTTAGTGCTGAAATAGAACTCATTGTCCTTTGATAATAAAGATGGATTTTTAAATTAATTATGCACATTCTTTTTGAGGAGGGACAATGATCTCATTTAGAAAACAAGAAACAGAACCCTGTCAATCATGCATTAGAAGTATTATAAAATGCAGTGACAAAATTGTCATTAGAAATATCAGACAGGGATTAAGGATTAGGAAGGTAGTCAATCATTTTAAAAAGCACTGTCTGCCAGGGTTTACCACAAACTATTAGGTATATTCCCTCTGAAATCTATCATCTTAATGGATGTTTATAAAGAATCAATAGAAACCTTTCATATCTCACAGTAAACACCTAGCCCATTTCCTATACTGTCTTTCTAAGTCATGGTTGGATGCCTCCACCTCCCCATGCTACCTGCTAAACTAAGACTTGGACACAGAAACGTTTAATTCACAAACAACAGATGGTGTAGCAGAACCAAAATAAACTTACGGACAGAATTTCAATGAGAAAAAGAGACCAAAAAAAAAAAAAGGTATTATGCTTTGCCTATATCCTTCTCTTACTACCACCAGCCTTTGAACACTATAATAAAATCATGATCACAACTACAAACTCATACCTCAACATTTTTTATTTACATACTATATGTATTAAACCAAAGCAGCAAAATTACAAAGAAATAAGGTACAGAAGACAGTCATGTAACTGCAGTCACTCAGCTTTTAGCTTCATGCTTCTTATCAGGAAAAAATCTTGAAGTCTTTGTGAATACAAAGCTGGATTTGCTCCATCATTTTTTATTGACTACATATCCACTAGGTTACTTTATTCAAATTGGTGTCATTTAGATAAAGCACCAGTAATCCAGGCTAAAGCTGATGGCGTCTTAAGTTCAAAAACTTGACAGAAGCGAGTGGAGAGTTAGAAGGAAAGCATGGGGGGGGGAAGGGGGCAGGGAAGAACCACTAAAAAAACCCCAAACAAACCAGGTGGGTAGATAAATATACTGAAGCATGAATGTCCTTAAAGATATGCAAATATGTTTATGAACATGAATATAACATTTTTCTCTGCCCATATTGCACTGCATAAAAAACTGAGATTTTAAGAAAACCAAATGCAACAGTATCAAACCAAGGCTAAAAAAAATACATGCTGTCCCAACATTTGACTGTTGTTACTTCAGTAGGATCTCACAGCTGCTAGGATGGAAAAGGATAAGCAATTCCCAGGTACAACAAAAGTCCTAAGGATCTGCATAATGCGTATCATTCTATAACCTCAAGGATAATACTGCTATATACATCAGCTGTCTGATTTAGACTTGTCGAATAACACTCTCTGAAAATCACAGAATGCCTACAGTACCTTCACAGAACACGATTACTTCACCTATAAGGAACCACAAATGCTATTTCTGAATATACTAGATTTATGTAATTAAGCAGTACCTACTACAGCACATAAATGTACATACAAATATGTACAATAGGTAATTTGCTTTGTATCCCAAATAATGTTGTTATAAATTCAAAGCACAGACCCAAAAAAGTTAAAAAACAGACAGCGAAACCCACTTTGGATTCTAAGTCCACAAATAAATCTTTTAATAGTTCAAACATTAGACAGTCCATTAAGTTTTTCAAGTTTGCCTGGTTTACCTCCTGGGTGTGCTCTTTATAGACTTGCAGCGGACCTTTGGTTTTAGCTGTATCCCAAATTTGCAAAGACCCATCTCCACTGGAAGTGATCAACACGTGTTCGTTATTCTCACTCCAGGTCACATCAAACAGGCCATCATTCCAGTCAAAACTAAATCGGGACAATGAAGTTATTTGTACGTGAGAAAGCATGACATAAAGGTCTGGACTAGTTACATGCAAAGACAGTATTTCTATAAATCACGCTCTTTACCATTCTGAGCAGTATTTTTATATATTTGAGTTGCCGGTAAATCTCCTTACAAGTGACTTACTTGTTATAATGCAAACTTTTATAACTGTGTGTCAGAATAGGTTGACTGAGTTAAAGCACAAACGAGCCAAGGACTTTCCACACACCGCGAGTGAAATCTGATTTCAATCTTAAACTTGGCGGGCAAACAGAGACAGAGGTATGACATGTCTCAGTCTCATCTACGGTTTCTCCAGGGTGCTGCTACAGAGGTAGGAGCCCTTATGTAACAACTGCAGTAAACAAAGAAATAAAACTGTGTGTTGGGAAAGCTCTATCCACTTCGCAACACCATTAGGAAGCTGAGTCATAGTGAAAAGTCGACAGATAGTCACGAACGTATTAAAGACCTCTATGCTCCCTAAAAAGGGCTTTCAACACGGCAGCAATTCATCACAGGGGATCTGATACCCTGTGTTAGTTGCTCTGCAACAACTATCAATGACCGTCCTGTTATCAGACGGCAAATACGAATCTATTTACCCCCTTTGCACTGAAGGTTCAGCTAAGCTCAGGTTAAGCTTCCCGGCGCCCTCCAGTAATGATGAGGGAAAGGCACGCACACAGAACGTTTCGATACGGAAAATGACACAGCTCACGGCTCAGGAAGTTTCAGGGCTTCCTACCACTTTCTTCCACTTTCTAGTGGAAGGTGCCCATGGCAGGGGGGGTTGGAACTAGATGGTCTTTAAGGTCCCTTCCAACCCAAACCAGTCTGTGATTCAGTGAAAGTAAGTGGAGCCATAGGAAACATAGGTACAGTACCAAACCAGAGCGCAGCAGAAGTAACGAATATTTAAGAGCTTCAAAGAATCTTGCCTTATAGTTATGCACTAAAAACAGTTTCTCTGAATATGATTAACTCTTTGTTGAGCATTTCTATTTCAGCCCTCATAATACAAACAATTGCTGTTTCAAAGCTTTCTTTAAGAAAAAAATTTAGGTGAATGACGGTCAAGTATTAAACCCCCTTCTTCCTAACCTTTGCCCTCCTCCCATTCAGAGCACGAACCAAACTCCCCTGAAACCCTCAGAATATTAGATATCCTAGGAAGGACTTCCATGACTTTCTGCAGCCTCCTGCTCTGTTTTCCATATAAGTCAATCACGAGGGCATAAGTTTAGGTGGCAATGCAGTGTTCATAAAAAGCTAACACTTTCAATTTCAAACTAAGGCAGAGAGGCTGCTTTTAATTTACATTGATAATTTTCTATAAAATGGTTTACACTACGGAAAGGGCGCAATCCAGATTATTTCCTGTGACAAAATCTACGCAATGTAAACTTGTCATTGGTAGGTAAATGCAAATACATTTATTCGTACATAAATACAAAGACATGTATTGAATAGATACTAAAGCATGGATACAATACTTTTTATCACTAAGAACACGAAAAAAATTAATTTGGGTTATGTCTTGTACTCACACCCACATAATCAGTTTTTCTCTTGCAAAACAATAAATCTGTGTTACCTCCTGAGCAGCACAATCCCAGCTTCATTTTGTTCCAGCACTGCCAGAGTTCCACAACCTAAACCAGGAGAACAAGACAACACATCACAACGAGTTCCCCCATGCCAAAAGAAAATTATTGTGTTCTGAGGTAGCTGCAGTGTGCAAACACAAGGGGCACCCAAACTTTAAGAGGCCAAACAATTAGCTGCATAAATAAACACCTTCTTGTCTCATGTTCTCTAAACCAGTAATTCGTTAACATCATACTGGTTTTTAACCCAGTACACCTACAGGTGAGGCTGGAAAACCAGCAACAAATTGCTTAGAGAGCATGAAGTGTGTTTTTCCTGTGAGCCTCACGTTACAGACATCCCAGCCTAAGGGTCCTTTTTATCTTGTCCATAACACATGACACTTTCCCCCCTCCCCGAATCCAGTAAAACACAGCTCGCCAGAAGCGGATCAAATAACTCGGCTCTGAAAAACCACGCGTGGGCACTGCTCTCCCATGCGACTGGGGGTACTGTCGAAGCAATCGCACATTTAGGCACTTTATTTAAAAGCAGTGTTTTCGGGAGCAGTGCTCCCGTTGGGAATGACAAGGGTCCCCGTGCTGAGGAAAGCCCAGCCCGCCCCTCCAGCGGGACCGCCGGGGCACCAGGGCCCCCTGGACACTCACTGACGGTGACCACAGCAGCCAAAACTTTAAGGAGAAAAATACTTTCAGACATTTAATTCGCGTTGTGCGTGTCTCTACCGCTATGCGTATTCTCTCCCCTCTAAAACTACCGCTCCTCTGAGAGGGTCTTGGGAAAACCACCGCCAAAGGGCGGGTTCGGCCTTGCTGGGCAAGGGCTGGGGGCCTGGGGCTGGCACCCGCTCCAGGCTAACCCCGCCCGGTACGCGGAGCGCAGCTATTCCCCAGCACCACAGCCGCGGAGAGGGCAATCCCCAGGCGCTGCTACAGGCACTGACCGACCGGGCACCCAGACTTCCCGCCAGGAGCCGCCACCGGCAACGCACGGTAACGC